AGCTGTACTCCAACTCTAATGGCAGCCTCAAGCTAGACCCAGGCACTCCAAATGAGATCTGGCCATGGGGATAAAACAGTATCAACCCATTAGCATGGGAACCTCTTACTATGTTAATAATGGCTTTGATCACATATTTTTTGTCTGCCAAATCACGCTGTTGAATTGTGTTGAGCTAGCAGGCCCACTATAACCCCCAGAACTGTTTCAGACATGGCACATAAGTCAGACCTCTGGCTTTGCCCTCACATGCAAGGTTCGAGCATAAAAGATTTCCATATCCCTGGGAAATATCCCTGTCATGGTCAGTCTTTCTGCTGATTCTCAATCAATAAATGACCCTAGTGGGATCAAATATTTGCAGAAGGTTCTGAGACAAGCAGGGGGAGATTTGGAACTGAAATTAAGACTGAAATACAGGATATTTTAAGAGGAATGTAGTTTTATTATTGTCTAAGACATATGGTAATTCAAGCTAATGGTTCATAAAGAGTTTCCAAGAAGTATTACTTTAGGTCCTGTTTTAATGAATAGATAAGACTCATTTGTAATTAGCAGCAACCATTTACATACAAATAACTCCTCCAAGTCCTTAAAAAGAGCTTATACTCTTCTCTAGGTTAAACATTCCTCTTAGCAATCTAGTTTGGGATATTCATTTGTTAAACAGACCTAATCTTCCCAAGCAGTTTACTTCTAGTCTTCTAGTCAGCTTTGACCAGTAACTAACTGTGTGACCATAAGCAAGTAACCTAACCTCTCTGGGGCTCAGTTTCCACCTCTGTATTTTTGTTGCTGTTCACCTTACTGAGGGTTTTCTTGGCAAAGATTTTGAAGTGGTTTGCCATTTCCTTCTCCAGCTCATTTTACAGATGAGGAAACTGAAGCAAATGGGGTTAATCAACTTGCCCAGGGTCACACAGCTTGTAAGTGTCCAAAGCCAGATTTGAACTCAGGAAGATGAATCTTCCTGACTCCAGGCCTGGATCTCTATGGTTTATGGCACCACCTAGCTGCCTTTCTCTGTATAATCAGGTATTATATCTCTAACGTCCCTTCCAGTTCTAAAATTTGACTCTTCTGACTCTAGTCCTGGTCAAATGAGCACAAATTCCATCATTGTGGGGTTCCCGTTAAATTGTTCATTGTTGTAACCAATGCCACATTAAGGGCATGCTCTGGAGTTCTCAGTTCTTATGCCTCCAGGATTAGTGTACCCTCCATTCCTTTGCCTCTGTCCTGGTGCCAAACCGTTCTCTGCAGCCATTACCATCCAGGAGGATTTCTATATGATCCCTTGCTACGTGCTTTGTCCTCAAATAGCTTCCCCTACCTCACTACTGGATTGTCTCCCATTCTTTCACAGGCCAGGACTCTGTGGTTCTCCTGTCTATGATCTATCCCTGGGACACATGACAAAAGGGAGTCTGTCTGGAAGAACTGAGATGCTTGATAATGACAGAGCATTCCAGGTGCCAGCTCTTCATGCCCCCAGCTCTTGGACCTCGGCAGTACAGGAGGGATGAGCTGGCTGTACTAGGGCAGAGAAAGACAGATTGGTTCAGTCTTCCCAACTCCCACGCATTCTTATGGCAGAGCAAACAGAGCAGGGTAGTTCTTCAGACCCAACTATTTCCTTAAGACCCAGCCACGGGAATTCATTTCTCTTGGACCTGAGCAGAGCTAGAACTAGGGGTAGGCAAGCTGCCTAGGGGATAGCATACAGGGGGCATAACAAGAGACACCATCATAATTCTTTTCATAAATGTGCATAATTTTAATGCCAGGAAAATCCTGCTCTCAGGATATTCAATTCTGTGAACCATCAAGTCACATCTGTTATCAAGAGAATACAAAGCATGCCAGCCACAGGAGACATAGTTTTCAATGTGTCTAGGCACACAAATGCGTTATCACAACTCTGAGCCTGAGATAACCTCCCAGGAAAATCAAGGAGCTATATAGGCAGTGTTGTATAATGAGACAGTGCTGGATTTGGGGTCAAGAAGACCTGGGTTCTGATTCTACCTCCCATCCAAACTTCTTATAGGATCACAAATAATTTAACCTCTCTGAGCCTTTTTCTTCACCTGTAAAATGGGGATAATAAAAACTTGTGACCCTACCTCCCTTGATCTTTATCTAAGGCTCAAGTGAGATTATATAAAGTACATTGCAAATCTTAAGGTGCTACATAAATGCCAGCTATTATTGTTATTATTCTCACATCAAAATTCTGAAGAAAGCCAATGTGGTGGTTTCTTCCCTCTCTTCCACCAATGTGTAGAGAGATCAGGAATGGCTGATCCATAGGCTATTTGAGCCGTACAAAGTCTCCACCATTGTCATTTTGAGGGTGATTCTGCTAGCTATCCCTTGGGCTTCCAGCAAGAGAGAAAGGGTTGGTTTTTTTTTTCTCTCTTCTCCTTCCCCAGACCCAGAAACAACAGTGGCTATAACTTGAGCATATAGTAGTGAGAACATGTGCTGACCTAGGCAAGATTGAAACTGGATCTCAGATTCCTGGGCTGGATCTTTTATTTTACATTTTATTCTCTGTACACAGGTCATGGAGCTTCAATTATAAGCAGTGGAGGAAATAAGTAGCTGTCCAATACCTGATACCTACTTTGTACATTGGGGAAAATAAATAGCTGTCCAATGCTTGATATCTACTTTCCATATAGGGTACATATTCTAGAAGGAAACCTGTTCATCTCTTTTGGAGGAGAATCTAGATAAGAGGCATACTTTCAGCTTTGTTTATAAAGATTTGCCCTGGAGATCTACTCTAAGGTGAGGCATTATGAACCAAAGAAGTCAAGGAAAACCTGATCCCCTTTCTTTATGGTCAAGCTCCTCCCAGGACTGAAACTAATTCATGTGAGTCTAGCTAGGTCCCTTTTTAGCTCCTTTTCTGGGAAGATCCTTCCCTCCCTCACCTTTAACATAAGAATTTTCAGTAAAGCTATTGGAAGCTCTTTCTGAAAATCTTTGAGGTTCAGAGATTGCATGCAAATGCAGTTGAAGCTCACAGGTATATTCCTTAAAAAATTTAAGGCAGAATTCAGATTGAACCTCTCTTACTTCCCCAGGATTCCAGTGATGTTTTATTTTTACCTCTGATTGATCCGCACCCAGAAGTGGCTCCCAACACTAGAGCTTTAAATTTTTTTGGTATCACTAACCTCTGTCATGTTAAAGATCTTGGAGGGAAGAAAAAAAAATCCTCCACAGGTGTTCTCTATTTAAAGGGACCCTGCTGTGATGTCTTTTTCAAATCAAAGAAGTCTTTGTAATGATGTGAATAATAACCCCCTAATTTATATGTTTAGGAAGGTAAGGTTTTCTTCTTTTGTTTTTTCTTAAAGTAAGACTCCTTTATTGCTTATAGGACTATAGGACAGAGAGTTGGAAAGGATGATGGTAATAATAATTATTAATACATAATAGTAGTAGATGCGGAAGTGACATTTACATAGGATTTGAATATGTTTACAATGCTTTGCATAGATTACTGAGTTTGATGCTCACAACAATCCTAGGAGATATGTGCTATTAGTGTCTCCCCTTCACATGTAAGGAAACTGAGGCCCAGAGAAGTTAAGTAACTTACCTGGAGTCACACAGTTACTTATTGTCTTGAAGCAGGATTTGAAGCCCAAACTCCCTGGCTCTAAGCCCAGCAATCACTCTGCCTAGTCCCACTGGCTCTTGTGGATCATAACATCATAGATTAGGACAGGAAGGACCCCCAGAAGCTTTCTAATACAACCCCTAGATATTTCTAATGAGGAAAGTGAGGCCCAGAGTTAAGTGAATAATTGCTCCAGGTCACAAAGTCAATCAGTAGCACAGGAGGGAATGATTCAACAATTAAGGTCCCTTCCTGGAACATATCTGGGTATTAGATGATACCCCTACAAGTCTGCTGAGTCATCAAATAATAGTAAAAAGGGAATTCTAAGGAATCTCAGAGGATTTCAAACCTTTCAGGGACACTTTTCTTCATAATCCTTTTGTTTTATTTTGTTTTGTTTAATAAATTGACTTAATTTTAATGCCAGGAAACCCAGAAGGATAAGACTGATAAAGACCTTAGAAATCCAACCCCTTCCTTGTACAGAGAAGAAAACTGAGGCTCAGAAAGAATTAGTGATTTTCCCAAGGTCCCACAATGAGTGAGCTGAGGTTCTGGGACTTAAAGCCAAGTTTCCTGACCCCATATCCATTCCTCTGCAGGTGAAGTACTCAGCATTGCAGCCTATGTGAGAGCTATCCCACTCGGGCAGAATCCAGACTGCTTGTGAAGGTGAGTAGATCAGGGCATTTGGAAGGCGGATCCAGCCAAGTGGGACTCCATTTCTTGGTTGGGGGGGACTCAATTTTTCATTCCACTCTTCTCAGAAAGTGAAACATTCTCCCACCTGCCCAACTTCAGGAAAACCTTACCTCAAATCCCACCTTAGATCCCTACTAAGCAGGGGGAGGAGGAAGAAAGGAAGTAAGTATATATATATATATATATGTGTGTGTGTATGTATATATGTATATATATATATATATATGTATAGCACCTCCTATGTGCCAGACACTGGGCTAAGTGTTTGACAAATATTATCTCATTTGGTCCTCACAACTACCTGTGAGATTGATGCTATTATGATCCCCAGTTTGCAGATGGAGAAACTGAGGCAGATGACTTGCTCAAGGCCAAAAAGCTAGAACGTATCTGAGACTAGATTTGAACTCAAGTCTTCCAGGGCCAATGCTCTATCCACTGGGCCACTTAGCTATGGGATACCGGGAAAATCACTTGACTTCTCTGCCTCATTTTACAGATGAGGTAGTTGAGCTTAATGGATTCTGAGGTCTCTGCGAGCTCTAAATCTACACTGCTTTCCCTTCTCTCTCCTCTTTTTTTTCCCTTTAATCTCTCTGATCCTCTGGAAGAGGAGAGAAGAGAGAGCAAGCCATGCAACCAGGTCTTTGGTTCCGACCTTTCTTTCCCCCTCAAAGGCAAGGGTCCGTGCAACACATTCAGACTCCCGGGGCCGTTGGGCAACAAACTAGGTTTCAACAATAACTTTATTGAAACAGCTAAGGATATGCAATTCCGTGCTTTAAAGGGGAGGAGGGGGAATCATTTAAGAAGAGATAACATCAAGGCGAGAGAAGTTTGTAGCCTCTCGGAATCTTTATAAATGGAGCTTCTCCTCCCTCTTGTGTCTCAAATCGGTGGTTGCAAGTGTCTCCCTTCTTAGCAGAGAATTCAGGGCTTTATGTGATGCCATCATACCCAGTCTCTTTGCTAAGCCTATCACCCCAACGTCCAAAAACCATCAACCCCGCTTCTGTTTTCCATCTAGCCCCACTGTGCCCCTCGCTCTACCCCTTTCTGTCCGTTAATAATAATGATTTTGATTATATCAATAATAAAAGTAATAATAATAATGGCTAATATTTACATAGCTTTTTAAAGGTTTGCAAATTGCTTCACTAAGATTAGCTCATTTTAATTCTCAAAACAGCCCTAGGAGGTGGTTCTATTATTGTCTCTATTTTACAGATGAAGAAACTGAGGCAGGCATAGGTAAAATGACTCACCAACGTCAGATAGTGACTAAATATCTGAAGCTGGATTTGAACTCAGGTATTCCTGACTCCAGATCTAACACTCTATCCACTGCTCCACCCTAGTTGCCATAAACTCTCTGAGTATGCATAATTCAGGTGCCCATCTCCCTGTGTATCTATCAACTGTAATATCAAGGTCTATCATTTTTTATCTTTATCTGATTTTTATATATTTCCCCCAAGCTGGAAATATTTATAAGGGATACATATGTGTGTATATATGTATGTGTGTATATGTGCATATATATATGTATATATGTGTGTGTATACACACACACACAGACACACACACACACACACACACACATATGATTCTAGTTGAGTGTCACCAATCTGAGGATAGTAAATTAGGCCAGCTTTGTGACCTCAATCTTCTGCTCCCCTCCTGGCAGGCATCAAAGTTTCCCCTGGAGAGAAGTAGATGAAATTCTAGAGATATCTATTCATGCCTTCCTGGAGGCTGCCTTTAGGCAAACCTATTTGGACATAAATATGACCTACATCAGCAATGCCCACGTGTAAACATACACAGATATACATGGCCTTCACAAGTATTTATTTTTTCTTCCTGTCACTTCCCCTTCCAATTGAACAATTAAAAAAAAAACCTCCCACATAAATACACTTAGCCTAATAAACAAATTCCTACACTGTCTATGTCCAAAAATCCTTGTTTTATTCTGCATTTTTTGAGCCTACCACCTCTCCATTAAGAGGTAGGTAGCAGGCTTCATCTTCAGTCCCCTGGAATCTGATTTGTTACTACACTGTTCACAATTGAACTCAGTTCTTTCTGACTCCATCTTCATACCATCTACCATATCACACTACCTCTCCACTCGCTTCCGGCTCTGACATGCCGTAATTCTAATCATTGAAACTATAAAGTAATTAAGACTGACTTCTATATGGGGCTTCAAGAAATCATCTCTTCCATGTCCATTGATTGACTAGAGAAGGAGACGAGTAAATACTGATCAAAATATGGGCAGCAGGCATCAAACCTAATTTGAAAAAAAAAACACAAACTTGGCATGGAAGAGATCTCATTCCAGGAAAAAAAAAATTAGCAGGCATTTGAGGTAGAAACAGATCAAGATAGAGTGCAAGCAATTACAAGCATGGCTGTACATACAGACAAGGGAGGTGTGCAGAAAGCTCTAGGCACGTTTAATTAACTTGGTTAGGAAAGCCACAGTGAGCCTGGAATGGAAAGCAGAGACATTTAAGGCCTTCACTCAAAAGTGTTGCACAGTGTGGCTGGCCTGTTTCCTCAGTTGGAATTGGAAAACATTGATTAAAGGGATACTGGGGGGATGGAGAGGAAAAAATACCATTTTGGCTATTTGTAGGAAGTCCTTTTCTATAGAGTAATTACAATTTTGTCAGGAGGACCTCTGTTTGTGTGCCTAAAAATGGTGTGGGGAAACATGGTGCTTCACCTCTCCTTTGTGCACCCTGCTATACCTCTTGTCTCTGCCCCCATCCCAGGTTGATATCCTACTATATAACTCCCTATACATATAGACCCTAGAGAAAAACAGGCAAGGTGGGAGGAGGAGAAAAGGAGTTATCCATTGAGGTTACAGTCATTCTCTGGTCTACACCATACACATCCTTACTCTGATACCCTAAGCTAGGTGGTATAAGGCATAACGCATTAGACTGAGAATCAGGAAGATCTGAGTTCTAATTTTCCCTCATAGGTAAGCTAGTTGTGTGACCCTAGGCAAGTCATTGAACTTCTCTGATCTCCAGTTTCCTCATTTGTAAAAGGGGGGGGGGGGTAATAAGAGCACATACACTAAAAAGCAGCTACATAAATGCTAGCTATTGTTAAATAAAACCATATTCTAAATGGGAGTAGGGATTATTGTTTAAAAACTGGAAGTATCCTTAAAGGTCATCTAATCCAACTCCTGCCTGTTACAGATGAGGAACTGGAACCCACAGAGGATACAAATACTAATATTAATAATAATAATAGCTAGAATTTATATATCACTTTATGGTTTTTAATGCACTTTAATACTTGGTCATTTTATCCTCACAAAATCCCAGGCAGGCAGGTACCATGATTATCCTCATTTTGTAGATGAGGAAACTGAGGCAGTCAGAGATTAAGTGATTTGCCAAGGGTCACACACCTAGCAAGTGTATGACACCAGATTTGAACTCAGGTCTTCTTGACTTCAAGTCCAGTGCTTTATCCATTGTGCCACTTAGCTGCAAGGTTAGACAATTTGCCCAAGGCAACATTGGTAATAAGTTACAGCTTGGGTAGGTTCTCATACTGCAAATCTACCAGCTTTTCCACTGTACCTCTGAGCCATAGGTGGAATGGGTTTCTTATAGGAGAGGGCCAGTATGGAGGACAAAGGAATCATAGTTGCCATAGCTTTAGAGTACAAAGCAACTTTAGGGGTCATCTGACCTAGCTCCCTCATTTTACAGAGGAGGAAACAGAGGTCCAGAGATGTGAAGTAACTTGCTCAATGTCACACAGATAGTCAAGTGGCAGACCAGAGATTCAAACCAGCTTCTTCGTCTCCAAATCAAGCACCTTTCTCCCTACACATTAAGGTCAATCATCGGGACCTCCTCTAAATAAGAAGCAGTTTGAAGAACTGCCATCTAGTCATGAACACATTTCACCTCATTTCTGTACAATCCAAGTAATTCCCCATCATCTTTTTGACAGTGGTTGTCTTCCCTGACTTTCTGATATTCAGCTTCTTTATGACATTCAGCTGATTTGGGCATGACTGCTTGGTCTGAGTAAAGATCAGACAGGGTAAACTGAAGGTCATGCTGAAACAATCCAGAGGTCAATGAAACACTAAATTCAAAGGACAGAGTAGGGTCAGGCTGCAAGGCTTTAAAAGCACAACAGAGAAGAAAGGAAGTCAGCCAGGGTGGTAGTCCTAGAGTGGTGAGGAAGGGGCAGGCTTTAGTGCTTTACCCCATAGATATCCCTTTCCAAAGAAGGTGAGTGTTCTTTCATGGAAGGTGAAATAGGAAGCCCCATCCTCTATCCAATTCCTCCTTAGCGATTGTTAGGGAACAAAATCTAAGCAGTTTCTATGGAACCTGAGGGCACAGTTATCACAGGCTACTCTGGAATGGTGCCAGGACTCGAGAGCCGGATGTCACAGACTAATGAGACTTGTTGAGGCAAACATGTGCTGTGTGCCACCTGTTGCGTTCCCAGAGGACCTGGCAAGCTAGCTGCCCACAAATATCAATGGATCTGATACCACTGTAGTTGTGATGCCTTTCTATGGCCAGATCGACCTCCTTTGCCCATTCATTTTGACTAGATAGCTCTGAACATACAGGATATTGCAGGCTAGTCCTAATGCACCTACAACGTCAGCAGTGTTTTCTCTTTTCCCATACCCAGTCTGAATTTAGCCTCAATGCCCTCCACTATTCATGGCCCCACCTCTTTCCCTGCTATCTCTATAGACTAGTTGTGCTCAGACAGCCATCAAAGGGGAACCCACTGCCTCCTGAAGCAGCTCATTTCGCTTTTGGACATCTCTAATTGTTAGGAAAGTTTTATTGATATCAACCCTAAATCTGACTCTACTCATCATTCCCACTTCTCCTCTTCAGGACCAAGAAAAACAATTCTAATTCCTCTTCCATTGAGCAGCTTTTCAAGTATGAGGAAATAGCTATCACTTGTCCCCTAAATCTTCTCTTCTCCAGACTAAACATCCTTGATTCCTCCAGATGATTCCTGGGCTGAGGAAGATTTAACTAAGGACTTGTGTATTCTTCCTCAGGCTCTACTCTCGACTTTTGGTACTTTCTCTACCATGCCACAGAAACCACCTCCCCATGGACGTTCACCTAACCTGTGTACTTATCACAGTGGCTGTACACACTGCCCTGGTGGCCCATTCCTCTCATTGGCTGATTCCTCCAAGAACCTCCATATTGAGGAAAGTGCCCAGCCCAACCATGTCTTCATTCCTCTCCAGGCTCCATTTCTGACTGTCCTGAATAACTCTGGACTTTCTCAGCCACCCCCAGCACACACTTCCTTCCCTACCCCCAACTCTTTTTAACTTAATTTTGTGGAGTTCCCGACCTTAGTATGTAAACTCCTTGAGGGCAGGAACCATCTCTTTCTGTTTGTACCTAGTGCTTAACACAGTGCCTGGCTGGCGCATCGCAAGTGCTTAATAAATTCCTGCTTACTTGACCTAACAGAATGAGGTCTCTTCTGGTTAATAAGAGTAACTAACATTTCACTAGTGTTTATTGTGTGTCAGGCACTGTGCCAAGAGCTTTACAATTATCTCATTTGATCTTCACAACAACCCTTCGAAGCACATGCTATCCTTATCTCCATTTTATAGATGAGGAAACTGAGTCAAACAGAGCTCAAGCGACTTGCCTAGGGT